GTTGGCATAGACCCTCGTTGCCCAGGGGGCGTCGGACATCGCTTGGTTTGGACCAGCACTTAGAGGACCACTGGCCCGGGGGGGGCTAAAATAAAGATGACCCTCGGGCTCCGGAAACCCAAGGGAAAAAGGCTTAGGTTGTTAGGCAAATGTAAAACCAATGTTGGGCCTTGGTGGAAGAGTTTTATTCAAGGCGAACTGTCAAGGGGTTCCCATAACACCCAACCGTGTTAGGGACGCAAAATCCGAGAACATAATACCGATATGACGGAAAACTAGGGCGGCAAGAGTGGAACAAAACACCAGTCATAAGGCCGAGCCTTCCACCCTTTACCAAGTATATAGATGCATTAATAATATTATAGATCTTGTGATATCCCAACATAAACATAATCCAACATGGAGCAATCTTCATCTTCACCTGCAACTAGCAACGCTATAAGAGGGGCTGAGCAAAAGCGGTAACATAGCCAAACAACGGTTTGCTAGGAAGGGTGACAAAGGTTAGAGGTTCATGGCAATTTGGGAGGCTTGATAAGCAAGTGGTAGGTAACGCGGCATAGTGATAGAACGAAGCAACTAGCATAGCAATGATAGTAGTGAGATTCAAGGTGACGGTCATCTTGCAAGCATCAAAACAACATGCTACAACACCTCTACATGAAAACAAATGACATGGGTGTGATGTACAGGTGAATCATTACAGAACATGAATATTGAGCTATCTCTAGAGACCACTAGAACATGCTCAAAAGGACATGGCAAGATGGAAAATAATAACAGTTTCACAGACTTAGCAGAAATCACTCGACATGGCAGAAATAACATCAGGTTACAAAGTTTAGAGCTATCAAACAACATGCTAAATGAACTTATCATGGCAACCAAAGGCATGGCATGCTAGTACTAAAAGCACTTAACAAAACTCCCTTACTGAACTTATTCCAAAGATCAACAGAAATCATGGTAGCATCCATGCAAACATGGCAAATGAAATGACAGATTCAGACTTAGTGAAAATAACAATGCATGGCAGAAACAACGATAAGTAGGCATGTTGGTGAGCTTGAACCACTCACCACAAAGCATTTCATGGTATATGAAATAAACCAACAGTGAGAAGACATGTTCATAAAGCTAAGCATGGCAATATCAAGTTTATAGGGTGCATGGACCACTAGCAAAACACATGGCAAAACTGAACTTAATGTTAACCGACTGACAGCAACATTATTTAGCAATTTGAGAGCAAGATTACAACAAGCTACAGCAGGCTATAAATGCAACCAAAGGCATGGATTGATAGAGCATCACATGTATAACAAAACATCCTTAGTGAACTTCTCCAGAATAAGCATAGAATGACTTGTAGAAGCAGGTTAACATGGCATCACAAAGTTACCGCTACAGACTTGGCAGAAATGACTAAGTCAGAGAAATCAGCAACATCATGGAGGCTACTTTGCAAGCTTGTAACAACCAACACATGGCATATCATGAAGAGAGGATTGCACCACAGCAAAGATGGCTTGTTGTAGCTCATAACACATGTAGACTTCATGCTCAAAAGAAACCACACAAAAAGATATAAAAATGACAAATGAGCAAATTCTGTTAACCTACAGCAGACAACATCATATAGCACTCTTGCAACGATGACAAGGGCATCAAGATGGACTCAAATGAACATGACCCAATGGAACAAAATGTAGAGCATCTCATGATGAACATTTTGATATACTATATGCACAAAATGGATCTACTATCAGAGGGTTATGGCATGTTGAAAAGGGCACCAGAATGCTGAAAATTAGGGACTTGGTGAAAATATACCAGCGCGAAAACGGGATCTACATCAGGCTGGCTCCATTCCTCGTACAGAACCATGGCCACGGAAGTCGACGCCGGCGGCGTGGACGCGTGGGACTCCGACGAGTGTCGGGGAGGCTGGGAATGGATAGATCGGGCGCGGGGCAACCGGATCCGGCAGTCGGGGTCGAGAATCCGGCGGCGGACGGCGACGAACGACGAGCTTGGGGCTGCAGGCTCCATGGCCAACAGGAGAAGCTCCTGTCCACGGGCAGAGAGAGATGAGGCATGAGAGAGAGGAAGGAGAAGGGGAGAAGGAAGAGGGAGGAGCAAGGCACGAGGCATGGGCCGGGACGGAGGTGGTCGCCGGCGGCAGGGCTCCGGCGAGAGACGGCGGCGGGGCGACGAGGGAGCGCTCGGGACCTGCTGGTCCAGATTGAGTGGGGTCTCGGGGAGGAGCAGCATGGGCGGCGGGCGCGCGGCTCGGGCTCAGATCCGGCCCAGGGCGGGCCGCGGATGGGCCTCACGGGCCTGGCGCGGTGGAGGTGGGAGCTTGGCGGCGGGGAGGCGACGTGGCAGCCCCTGGGAGGCTGCAGACGGCGGCTCGGGTGGCGGCTGGCCTATAGGGCAGCGCCAAGTGGTGGAGGGGCTTGGGGCACGCCGGATTCGGAGGAGAAGGTGGGAGGATGCGGCGGCTGATGATTGGGGAGGCACAAAAATCAAGGAGGGAGGTTAGGGATGACAAAAATGGCAAGGGGGCTGCTATTTATAGGATGAGGGGTTAGGGTTGGGGGTTTTAGGCCTTTACGGACCCTCGGATCTCGATCTGATGGTCCGGAGCGGAGGGGAACTAGGTGGGCTGTGAGAGATAGGCTTGGGCTGAGATGAGAGGGAAGGAGTGCAGCCCGGCAACTGTTTTCGGGGCCCGAAAACATCCGACGTTTGACCGACTACGATGCCGCTATAACTTTAACGGTAGGGCTATCAAACGAGTTCTGAATGCGTCGAAACTTGACAGGTGCTCTGTCTACACTATAATAAGACCGCACGCCAAGTTTCAACCCATTCCGAGAATATTTAAATGCCACTCACGAAACGAGGTCTGAGAGGGGCAACAGGCGTGTGTGAGAGTGTCGGATCGCGAAACGGACAACGGGGAAAAAGATCGGATGCAAGTTTTGAAAATATGAGGATGCAATGCGGATGATGACATGGCAAAATGCAACACGCAAGCAAATGGCATGGCAACGACGACGAATAAACGGAAGACACCTGGTGCATCGGATTCGGGGCGTTACATCGGGGCTTGGGGAGAAGTCCTAGTGTACATGAGGATGATCATAGAATACTCCGCATCATTTGTTTTGCTTACAAATGAAGGGCCTAGCTTGAACAAGAAAGATGAACCTTGGAGCAATTTCAAGCATGGAGATGATGGCATGCGCAAGGGGAACAAGAACGAAGTTACAAGTGATGATTTCAGGACTTTGAAGCCATCATAATGAGTGCATGAAGCCTTGAACGAAATATACAAGATGTCACTTCATAAATTTCGTCCACGGACTATTCTAGGTGCTGTGTCATCTTATTTTTGGGCCAGGCCATGTAATTTCAAAATACTTGATTATAGGCAATTTTTAGAGTCCCTATGTGTGGGGAAACAAGAGTTAGGGTTGGGTTCGGACCCTTCCTCCAAGGGCCATGAAATTCCCCCCTCTCTCCTCCATATATACAGCCCTTAGGGCATCATTTAGATTTTGGGAGTTTTATTTAGATTAAAAGTTCGCCATAGCTGCAACTTCGCGTACTTCGTTTGTGTTCAACGACCAGACTAAGACGTCATAGAACCCCATCTTGATCAATAAAGTTTTCATCTTATATTCTTAATATCCAGATTGCAATCTCAGTTTCTTGTTTGTTCTTAGTTTGTTCGCAGAAAATAGACCATCGTGGTCAGGTTGATCGTGCTCCGGCATGGTTTATAACCCCTCAAAAGTTGGTTTAGCGATTGCTAAAGCACGACGTTTTGCATGTTCGTAGTCGGGTAGCCACCATCTCATCGAAATATTGGGACATATTTGCCTCTATCAAGAGATATGCACCCTGTATCAAATGCATATTCGGCGCTTAAGGCGCGCCAAATAGGATTTGGGTAATTTTGGTTTCCATAAAATCCAGGCATGGATGGATGGAGTATGGGCCCACAGTTTCTCTCTCTATATCTGTTTCTCTCCCTTCCAGGTCAGAAAGTCTTGTTTTGGGAGAGAGAAAGGCAGATGAAGTTGTGTAGGAGAGCAGAGAGTCCAAGGAAATGCACCAGCAGAAACGCCCCTCTTTTCATCTCCTTCCCCCGCAAGCCTCCCAATAAAATCTCCACATATCTCCGACTTCCCCCGGCCGATCCTTCGCGGCAGGTTGTTTCACCCTAATCTCTCCACGATTCCTGGGATTCTCCATCGCAATCCCCTTCGCTAAGGTTGCTCCCGTACCGCGATAGTGTTTTCTCTCTCTTCACTGCTAATTTTGCTTGACCATGTTGGGGAATCGTCCATCGGTTTAGATAGATCAGCTTACTCGTTGTTTCGATCGGTTTCTTCGGTTCGTTATCTCCAAGGTTGGATTACTCGAGGCGGGTTTCCTTTGGTTCGTCTTCTTGGTGGGGATTGCGCCCTGTTTCCGTGGTGATCGGGGGTTTTTCTGGGGTTTTGCCATCTTAATCGGACTTGGATTTTGAGATGATTGAGCGATGGGTGGACTCTTGATCCCCGACTCCCCTGCAGTTGATGACATTATGATATTTGTGTAATCCGCTCGCGGATTTGGACCATCGGATGATGGAATTATGGGCTGGTTTGATTTCTTTCCCTGCTTAGTTCTGATTTAGGTATCCATGTGCATTGTTTGATGCCGTCTTTGTGGTGCTGTGAGGATCAAATTTCCGCACTATTCCTTCTGTTCGATTGCCAGCTTTATGTCTTGTTTAACAAATTCTTCTGCGTTCGTCCAAATCTTCTTGTGGTTTCTTCAACGCCTGCTGTCTTTGTGTAAAGCCTTTTTTTATGTTCACATGTGGTTTTGCCTCTTCTTTATGACCTCCGACTGTAACATGAAACTCCTGGTGTTGCAGGACCATTGCCGCTACCTGCATTGTGTGATTTGAGCCGTGTTTCATAGATCATCCTGTTCCTGGCATGGGGGAATCGCAGAGTATTCAGGATTGTTCCAAGTTTGGAGCTTTTGTTGACAGGATTCCTGGTGCTGAATTGCGCAATGTTGGTGACATGGGGATCCACTACATGAGTGGTAGTACTTCACAGGCAGGCGGGGCTAAGATGAGAAGGCCATTGCCTTCTCCACGGTTCACAATGTATGATTCTGCGATGATTGAAAGCAATAAGAGTGTTGTGGAGTTCCCTAGTGATGGTCTACCTGACGAGCAGTCGTTAGCATCTGCTTTTGGGGACATGAGCTTCAAGAATTATACAGCTGATTCTCTCACAAGTACCAGAGATTTTCCGCCAGTAAATGGGTACTATGCATCTGGCCCTGCAAATTATCACTCAGGGATTACGCCTCCAGATGTTACATTGAACCCGTTGCTTGTGCCTGCAATTGTTCAAGATGATTTGACGTTCTGTGCTGAACATGTTAATGAGAAACCAGACGAACTAACTGTTGGACACCAAGAACAAGCTTACAGATTTCCACCACACTTCGAGAATTTCTCAAGGGGCTCAGTGATGCACAACCTGGATATTTTTTCCAGTGATCCTTACCACCAATCTGCTTTGTCAACTTCACCCATCGAGCAGCAGTTTTATCTGGATGTACAGTCTCAGCTGTATGCACCTTATAGTCAGCCATTTGATTCAAACATCATGTGGCAGCATGGTACAGAAACACCAAGACACACGATGCTGCAACCACATTATGTTTGCCCACAGTTGCAACAGGTTGCTGGGTCAGATGTTCGTCGAAGTAGGAGACATCAACAGGCTGCAGCTTGCACTTCTGCAAACGGCACATCACATATTGAAACACCTAATATTCATCGACAGGGAATGGGAATTGAGGATCCTTACTCTAATGGTGCTGCCTTTCAGAAGAGAAATACCCAGCTGACCAGTTTTCATTGCACATTGTCTGCTGACAGTCCATGTGGCAGTAGTAACTTCCGTCAGCAAGTTGACAAGTTTTACTCTTTGTCTAATGGTTTCTCACGCCATCAGATTTCAGATAATATCAGCATTGTAAGTTATCCAGAAAAGCTGCGGATGAGGGCTGATGGGGCAAATTCAGTAAGTACCAAGAGTACTCCTGTAGATGGTTGCATTGGTAGGGATGGAAGAACTAGTAGTGCACATAACCATCTTGATATTCATAGTAACTATTCATTGCACCCCGACAGACCAAACTCCCAGCTTCTGCCCTTGGTCATGAAACCATGTGAGCTGAATTATAATTCAGTTGACGAAGTTGCTGGGCGAATCTATATGTTGGCTAAGGATCAGAATGGCTGCCGCTTTCTGCAAAAAGTATTTGCTCAAGGCAGCCAAGAGGATGTCAAAAGAGTCTTTGCTGAAATAATTGATCATATTGGTGAACTTATGGTCGATCCATTTGGCAACTATTTAGTGCAGAAACTGCTTGAAGGGTGCAGTGATGATCAACGGATGCGCATATTATGTGAAGTTACTAAAACGCCTGGAGATCTTATAGCAGTTTCTTGCAACATGCATGGGTATGAGCAATCTGATCACTTGCTTTATTCTTATATAGTTATTGCTTATATTTCATATCTTTTTGGAAAAAAAAATGTTCAGGACTCGTGCAGTGCAAAAGATAATTGAAACTGTAAATAATCCGGATCAAGTTTCTAAGGTTGTGTCTGCATTGAGTCCTGGAGCAATGCATTTGATGCTAGATCCTAATGGCAGTCATGTTGCAAACCGATGCCTGCAGAAACTGTTACCGGAGTCCAAAGCGGTATGTTACTGCTAATCATCCGATTTAATTATGGAAATTTCTGTACCTTTTACACATTATATGCATTCAAGTTGTTTGTGTTAAACCTGCAAAAAAAAGGTTGTTTGTGTTAAAGAATATCTGTAGAATATTGCTTACTGGCACACAAGTTTCTAATTTTTACTGATTAGTCTTTTCTTAGGCTCTTTGCAATAATCTATTTTTCTTGGCATAGTTAAATATCCACGCACTTTGCATCAGGAATTAAATTTTTTTATCTATATAACTTATTATCATCTATGTTCTACTCTAACTTGTGGATGCTTTATAATTGCTGTAGTTCCTTCTTGATGCTGCTACATTGCACTATCTTGGACTAGCAACACATCAACAAGGCTGTTGTAGCATTCAAAAATGCATCGAACATTCAGATGATGAACAGAAGTTCAACTTGTTAAGCAATATTATATCCAGTGCTCAAACCCTTGCCGATGATCGATTTGGGTATGGCTCTTATCCTTAACTAGTACTCCCTCTGTCCTGAAATATAGTGAGTATTAGGTTTTGTAAACATCTAGGATACCAAATCAATAGCATTAGATTCACCATAAATTTTAGGTTCATGCGGTATTGTAGATATAGATAATTTTCTCTATAAACTTGGTCAAGGCTTGTGAAGCTTGAGTTTTGCGGAAAAAAAACACGTGCTATGTTATGGGATGGAGGGACTATCTGAAGAGATAGATAATGCGACCATACCTTGCAGGAACTACGTTATTCAGTCAATTCTCAACCACGGCATTGAATGGGCGACATCGAAAATAGTTGATGAGCTGGAGGGTCATTTTGGGTATCTGTCAATTCAGAAATGTGGTAGCCATGTGGTGGAAAACTGTCTGAAGCGAGCGCCCCAGCACATGCGTGACAAAATCATCCAAGAACTTATCAACGATCCCAAGTTGCAGCATATTATGGTGGATCAGTACGGCAATTTCGTTATTCAAACAGCTCTTGAACATTGCAAGGTAAAAAACATTGATGCACCCCCAGCCAAAAAGCGTAAATTCTTATCAAGTATGTTTAATCATGCAGGGGCTGCTACATACCACCTTTGTCGAGGCCATTAGGCCACACGCTGCTGCAATGCAAAGCCACATGTATGGGAAAAGGGTTCTATCAAAAACATACCTCAAGAACAAGCAACACCGAGTTGGAGTTTTGTAGCCATCCGCACTTATACCAGGAAGAGCTCTGAATGTAGTAGTATAATATTTCCAGACAAGAGGAAGCCTTTTTAGTGTATTTTGCGCATGTATAGAAACTACATATATATTTTAGCTACATACCACCTTTACGGAGGGAGTAATAATTTGTCAGCTGTATGCTTTGGTTTGTTGGTCCGAAGGCCATGTAGTTTGCTAAATCTGCCAAAACAAAATTGCATTTGGTTGTCTGTTGAGTTGTATCATCTGCACAATTACTCTACAATCCTGGATGCAGGCTTCAATGCTAGCTGAATTTAACAGGCTAGTTTATGTACTGCACAGGTTTGAATATCTACAAGAGAAACTAAAACACTGACTTGTTTCAAAAATTTACACTGACATGCTGGGCAACACATTTCTGCAACGGCTTTAAGAAACAAGGAACAACGGAAAAGCGTTTAACAATCAATGCATGACTTAGGAAGAGATACAAAGACTTTGTTCCACAATGAATGCATGACTAAGAAAGAGATACAAGACTTTGTTTCACAAAGAATTCAACTTCCACACAAAGTGCGCTCACAGCTGACTTAGCATAATGTTTCCAGCTGAACATATAATGTAGAGCATCATGTTTCAACAAACAGCAAACTTAAAACTACATCCTAGAATCTGCCTCGTCCTCTGAAACCACGCCCTCCACCCCTGGGAGGTCCACGACCCCTTGGTGCACCTCTTCCACGGAATCCACCACGGCCACCAAATCCACCACGACCACCACCTCTTCCACCTCGACCACCACCTCTTGGAGTCAAGCCCCTGCATACAACAAGCAAAGCAAAAGACTATCAAACAACTAACAAGTTATCAAGCTGTAACTAGACAAATGCTGAACACTTTATTTGGTTTCTCATGTGCATTTTCCACATGTACACTTATGGTACTCCATTCGTTTCATAATAATGCTAAGAATGCTGCTGATATTTTTATATAGACTTGGTCAAACTTAACAAAGTTTTGACTTAGGAAAATCCTATAGCCTCTTTCACAGAGACAGTATGCAAGTGTTTTGACACTGCTGGTTTCAAGTTCGAAGAATGTAGTCAGTTCAAACTTATCAATACAGTACGAACTGAATAAGAGTTAGCCATGAAAAGACATGTTGCTAAGTTTCATATTCAAGACTGAAGAGTAAATAATGCAAAAGAAATGACAAAGTAAACAGATCATTACTTTGGCTGCGGCAGGAAGCGTGAGAGGGGCAGCAGCTTCATGGGGTCAATGAAGAACTTGTCACCTTCGTTGTAAGATGTTGCAATGACTCCCTCAAACATCTTGACCGAGAAATACTACAGAAAATACAAAATTATAAGATATGCAGTATGATACTACAGACAATACAAACTTATAAGATATGCAGCATGAGCAGACCTAAAATTTAGAGCAATGATAACAACAGAGGTAAAAAAACAATCAGGTAAGGCATTCAGTCATCTTAAAAGTTGCACCTAATTATTAAACACGCTACAGCATTGCCACAGCCAAAACAAACATTTTCAACTGTACTAAATGGAGAACCAAACTCACTTCTCACATGCCTTGAGATTCAAGACTCTAAATTTGAAGTTGTAAACTGCTAACTCCAACAAAGCAAAAAAATCCTACCTAACAACAGATGGACCAGTTGGTCAAAACTTTGCAGGCACTATATTGATGATGAGGGGAAGAAAGCGCTTACTGATTCGTTGATGGGGCCGAAGATCTCGTCGACTTTGCCGATCTGGGTCTTGTTCTGGAGGTATATGGGCGCGTTGAAGTAGGGCACTTTCTCGTTCGTCAGCTTCGTTACCGCGTCCCCCTCGCACGCGTGCAGGAACGTCGACACCTCTGCATAATAAACAAACAAAAAACAAGAGACATCAAACTCACCGGAGCCTCGAAAAGAAGAGGGCTCGGACAGTTAGGACTTGAAAGAAACCACGCACCGACGACCTCGGCTGGAGGGCCCTCGTCGCGGAACCCGCCTCCGCCTCCACCGAAGCGGCCCCTGCCGCCGCCGCCGCGGCCGCCTCCACCGAAGCGGCCACCTCGGTCGCCGCCGCGTCCGCGGAAACCTCCGCCGCCTCTCGGTGGTCGCATGGCGATGGGTGTTTGGCGGCGGGAGGCGGGGGCGGGGGCGAGTAAGGGTTTCGGCGACGAGGAGTGAGGGGCTTGTTAGGGTTTTAGTGGAGGAGGCTGCGGACTTATGTTGAGGTTGTTTGGGAGACTGGCAGGTGGGCCCTGGCGTGGTCTCCGTTTCTCGGCCGACGGATCGTTTTTCAGATGGGGAGGGCTGTATGGACGATGATGGGTGATCTATCCATGCGCAGAGTCGTTGGCGGCTTTTCGTAACGAGCCTTTTCCAATCCCATATTTTACCGGGACATTTACATTTTTTTCTCCTATAAGTAGAACACATTGTGTCAGCAGCCCGATCGTCAACACTGAAGATGATGCTGATCGAGAAGAGATGCGGGAAGCGAGCAACTCAAATCATGGGCCGGCAGGCCAGCCCATCCGTAACAAGAGGGTTTCCCAGTGGCTTGCAAGTCCAGATTGAACCCGCTAAGCGGGTGTAACGGTAAAAAGGGTTTAAATACTTCCCGTCGTCATCAGTAAAGGACAGGAAGGAATGGGAGGCTTCGGCCTGGCTCGAGCGTGTGTGCGTGATTTGTAATTTGAATTGTTGTGTGGGTGGTTAGGAGGACAGCTAAACCAAATTCAAACCTAGATCTCGTTCATGGAGGTAGCAGGATCCTTATATGTGGTACTCAGAGCTTTCTGATCCTGGAGATCCTGAGCCACGTCCACGACACGCGTTTCAAGCTCCAGCAGCGGAGCGCTGTCATGGACAAGCTGTCGTTCGAGGGGCGGCAGATCCAGGAGCTGCTTCGTGCGGACTTCGCCGAGGTGCTGGATCAACGCTTCAAGGCGCACGGCGAGGAGATCATCAAGTCCATCGGCAAAATGCTCAAGGAGACGACGATGGCGCTCGACGGCCTCGTCACGGCGTGAATCAACGGCGCCAGATCCGAGTTCAACCTCGACGTCGAGCAAATCCGTGCGGAACTCGAGCGCTGCGACAAGGAAGAGATTTCATGCAAGCAAACGAGCCCGTCGACCAGCAATGAAGTTGGGGGCGCCCGCGATTCGACGGCGACGGATCCCCTTGGCTTCGACAAGTTTCACCGGGGGAAGGCGCATCAGGTTTATGTGCCTCCTCCGGTCAGAGGTGCGCGTGATTCCGTTTCTCCCCGTGAAATTTTTTCTCCTCGAGATTTCGCTGCGTCGGACGTCTCTAACCTGTACCAATCTGCTCCCCATGTGGAACTACCGCGTTTCGATGGCTCGAATCCGTGACTGTGGCAATCGCGCTGCGAGGACTGTTTCAAGCTATGGGGTACTCCAGCAGCAAGGTGGATTTCCTTCGCCACGTCCTAGTTTGATGGTGCAGCAGCTAGATGGCTCGAGGCAGTACATTGTAGATCGCCGAATTTGTCCTGGACAGAGTTCTGTCAGCTTTTATTGAATAGATTTAGTCGCAATCAACATCAGACCCTGGTGAGACAGATGTTCAGAATTGCCCAGGAATCGACAGTGACGGATTATGTGGAACGATTTGCAGAACTGTATGACCAGCTTTCAGCTTATGAGGATGTGCCTGACAGTCTGTACTATACCACTCGTTTCATCGATGGCCTCAAGCCGGGTGTGAGGATGTCAGTTTCTCTGCAGAAACCTCAGGACCTGGATACAGCTTATGACATAGCCTTGCTCCATGAAGAATTAAGTGACGCAAACTCCTCTCCGTTTCAATTCAAGAAGACAATGACAGCAACTTCGACAGTTCAGAGAGCTCCAGTTGCTGCTGATAGGAGGCCTATTGAGAACGGCAAGGGCACTTACTCAGAGGATAAGTGGAGCACGTTGCGCACCTACAGGAAATCAAAGGGGTTATGTTTCACATGTGGAGAGAAATGGTCCAAGGACCACCAATGCAAATCTTCTGTTCAACTCCATATAGTGCAGGAGATGATTGAACACATCCAAAGTACTGCTTCATTCTATCAGGAGTCATCTGATAGTGACTCTGATAACCTTATGTTACTGTCAGCAGCAGCCTGTTCAGCTGAGTCATCCCCATTAACAATGAAACTTCAAGTTACTGTTTGTGGCCAGGCCCTCACATTTCTGGTGGACTCGGGCAGCACACATTCCTTTCTCAATTCAACTTTAGCTGCTCTGTTGCCAGCTGTGCAAGAGGTTAAACCTATAACAGTAACAGTAGCAGGTGGTGCTAAGTTGTACTGCTCTGTGACGCCCCCGATTCAATCTTACACTGATCATACACGCAAATGTGTACGATCAAGATCAGAGACTCACGGGAAGATATCACAACACAACTCTACAAACAAAATAAGTCATATAAGCATCATATTACAAGCCAGGGGCCTCGAGGGCTCGAATACAAGAGCTCGATCATAGACGAGTCAGCGGAAGCAAAGAATATCTGAGTACAGACATAAGTTAAACAAGTTTGCCTTAAGAAGGCTAGCACAAACTGGGATACAGATCGAAAGAGGCACAGGCCTCCTGTCTGGGATCCTCCTAAACTACTCCCGGTCGTCGTCAGCGGGCTGCACGTAGTAGTAGGCACCTCCCGAGTAGTAGTAGTCGTCATCGACAGTGGCGTCTAGCTCCCGGGCTCCATCATCTGGTCACAGCAATCGGGTATAGAAAAGGGGGGAAAAGGGGAGCAAAGCAACCGTGAGTACTCATCCAAAGTACTCGCAAGCAAGGAGCTACACTACATATGTATGCATTGGTATCAAATGGAAAAGGGGGGGGTAACATATGTGGATTGAACTGCAGAATGCCAGAATAAGAGGGGGATAGCTAGTCATATCGGAGACTACGCTTCTGGCCACCTCCATCTTGCAGCATGTAGAAGAGAGTAGATGGTAAGTTCACCAAGTAACAGCGCATAGCATAATCCTAACCGATGATCCTCCCCTCGTTGCCCTGTGAGAGAGCGATCACCAGTTGTATCTGGCAGTTGGAAGGGTGTGTTTTATTAAGTATCCGGTTCTAGTTGTCATAAGGTCAAGGTACAACTCCAAGTCATCCTGTTACCGAAGATCACGGCTATTCGAATAGATTAACTTCCTTGCAGGGGTGCACCACATTTCCCAACACGCTCGATCCCCTTTGTCCGGACACACTTGTCTGGGTCATGCCCGGCCTCGGAAGATCAACATGTCGCAGCCCTACCTAGGCACAACAGAGAGGTCAACATGCCGGTCTAAATCCTATGGCGCAGGGGCCTGGGCCCATTGCCCATTGCACACATGCACGTTGCTTATGTGGCCGGTGAGCAGACCTAGCAACCTCCATTACAAAGGAAGTTACGTTACGCAGTCCAACCCGGCGCGCGCCGCTCAGCCGCTGACGGCACGAAGGCTTCGGCTGATACCACGAGGTCGAGTGCCCATAACTGTTCCCACGTAGTTGGTTAGTGCGTATAGGCCAGTATCCAGACTCAGATCAAATACCAAGATCTCGTTAAGCGTGTTATCTTGAAGTCAACGCGAACGCCGACCAGGGCCAGGCCCACCTCTCATCTGGGTGGTCTCAACCTGCCCTGTCGCTCCGCCACAAAGATCCACACAGAGGGCCATCGGGAAAGTATGTCCTTCCAGCCCCCAATTCGTGAATCAACCGCGGGTACTCAACGAGCCAACCCGACTTTAGTCACAACATATATATGTGTGGTAGGTATAGTATATACCCGTGATCAACACCCGACATGATCACGGCCCGATAGTATAGCATGGCAAACAGACAAGAATGTAGGGCCACTGATGATAATCTAGCATCCTATACTAAGCATTTAGGATTGCAGGTAAGGTATCAACAGTTGTAGCAACAATGACAAGCTATGCATCAGAATAGGATTAACGGAAAGCAGTAACATGCTACACTACTCTAATGCAAGCAGTATAGAGGAGAGTAGGCGATATCTGGTGAGCAGGGGGGGCTTGCCTGGTTGCTCTTGCAAGAGAGAGGGGTCGTCAACACTGTAGTGGTACTGGGTAGCAGCGGCGTCGGTCTCGGTGTCTAGCGAGAGAAGAGGGGAAGAAACAATAAATTTTAAGCAAACAGATGCATAGCGATGCATGACATGACAAGTAGCGGTGCTAGGGATGCTGTCGGTGTCAAAACTAGCGGATCTCGGGTAGGGGGTCCCGAACTGTGCGTCTAAGGTGGATGGTAACAGGAGGCAGGGGACACGATGTTTACCCAGGTTCGGGCCCTCTTGATGGAGGTAATACCCTACGTCCTGCTTGATTGTTCTTGATGATATGAGTATTACAAGAGTTGATCTACCACGAGATTGAAGAGGCTAAACCCTAGAAGCTAGCCTATGGTATGATTGTGTGTTGTTCTATGGACTAAAACCCTCCGGTTTATATAGACACCGGAGGGGGCTAGGGTTACACAAGGTCGGTTACAAAGGAGGAGATATACATATCTGTATTGCCTAGCTTGCATTCCACGCCAAGTAGAGTCCCATCCGGACACGGGACGAAGTCTTCAATCTTGTATCTTCATAGTCCAACAGTCTGGCCAAAGGATATAGTCCGGCTGTCCGGAGACCCCCTAATCCAGGACTCCCTCAGTAGCCCCTGAACCAGGCTTCAATGACGATGAGTCCGGCACACAGTATTGTGTTCGGCATTGCAAGGCGGGTTCCTCCTCCGAATAAACCATGGAAGAGTTTGAAATACAAGGATAGTGTCTGACCCTGCAAAGTAAGTTCCACATACCACCGTAGAGAGAATAATATTTCCACAAATCTAATCTGCTGACACGTTTTGACAGCATGACATCACGCCACGGCCCGGTCATTATTCAAACCGTTTTTCTTAACCAGCTCCGCACATAACACGAGGCGGTTTCCTTGATACGTCTTGTCAAAGCAGAGATCGTGTCCCCCTTATCATGGGATTCTCATCAATACAAACGTGGGTAACCCAACCGTGCCTGCTGGTATGAGTCCTAGATCTTAGGTAAGTCTCAAACGGCCACGAGGAGGACAC